CAGAATGTCTCTGGTATATGGTTGTTCATTATTTTTGTTATTTTCTCGCCTGGTCCATTATACTCCTGCTATGAGTGAAACCATCCGGTATTTTCATCTCATTATTTTAAGAAAGTAATGTTATCTATTTAAAGCAACTTAAGTTTCTACCAGATTTTGAAGATTAAACAAAAACCTCACAGTATAGAAAATACAAATCAAAGGGTACTAATATATTCACTCTAAGATATAAATAGTATATACTAAGAGCCACAAATAACAGCTCTTTACTAAAGCTTACTTGCAAAACTTACCAGAATTCTGCTGGATTCCCCACCGTACTCTCATCCGAAACTGTCGGGCACCACTTTGCTGGAGTCTTCGATTTAGTCTCGGAAAATTCTGCTTCTTTCCTTCCTTTCGATTCAATTTGATGATATCATCTGTGATAGAAGTGCCATAACTTGACTTAAGTATTCACATGTTCTAGTTATCTAACTAAATAGACACATATAGATATAGCTATACACATACAGATATACACACTAGATAAATTTACTATATTCCTAATTTTTTTCCCTACTTTCAAAGCACTACTATAAGAGGATAATAATGATAAAAGTTTAAAGCAATCAATATACCTGTAGCACTGAAGAAAGGTTTTGTGAGGAAAGTTCAAATCATTACCCAAAGTAGATGTACCAAATTAATGAAGTTTGTTATTCACAGTAACATAAATTAGCAAAGACCTGTTTACAAAAGTTATTTATTCTTACCTTCCACAATTACAGCCAGTTTTTAAAGATAACCCCCTTTCAGTAAAACTATAGTCAAAACTAAATGATTCAGATTAAAGACTAAGTGTCTAACTTCATCTCAATTCAGAAAATATTTATTAAGCATAATAAATATATTTGCATTTATAATAAATATTTGTAATAGTTTGTACTGGAACATAACAAAGGTAAAATATGACCCCTGTTCTAATTTTAAAATTATTGATCAAAAGAGATATGTAAATAACAAATACAGAATTAATGAAGTACCATAATAAAGGCATAGTACAAAACAAAATGTATTAATGGTCCTCTATTCTCCTGGCAGAGTAGTTCAGGGTTATTTTTTCTTTCTTTCTTCACTGATCTCTCTTAGTCTCATTATTTCCAAAAATGCTTTCTCATTATTCCAAAATAATTTGCAAGTAGATCATTATTCTCAAACCACATAGAACAATGTTAAGATCAGGAAACTATTGATATATGTACTCCAGACTATTTCCATCTGTTAAAAGGAGGTTACTAGAAGCCAAAAAATCTCATTTAAGAAATATCCAGGGCTTACCCTGGTGGCTCAAGGGGTTAAAGCACTACACTATGAAGCTCTCAGAAGCCATTGTAGTACCAGTTCAGTCCCCAGCCAGGGACCTGACCCACAATGTATGGCAGACCTCCCCTGACCTGCCTGCTGCTCCCCTCAGCAGTGTGTTTCAGTACATCTGCCTGTTCTGTTCCCCAGTCTATCTCTGGGGAATCCTCTCACCCCCGCCACACACCTCTGGCTTGTACCCCAGTTCTGTAAGCATAAGTAAATAAATCTTTTCTCTTTTTTAGTACAAGAGATATTTATTTATTTATTGACATTCAATTTATCTCAGTATATTGCCAATGAAAAGAGGAACATATCAGTGATTCAAAGTTTTATCTTTGAATCCATCACAAAGTGACTGGAAACAATAAATGATATTCTATTTTATCATTTTGCAGAATTATAATACTATCTAATTATTATGAATATAGCCCTCTAATCTAAGCATATGTCAGAAGAATCAATCATATTCATAAGTAAATAAATCTTAAAAAAAAAAAGGAAATACCTAAAGTACCAGCATATTTAATATGCTTTGCTACTTTTAAGTTTTAGTTAGGTTTATAATCTATAAGTTAAAATATAGTAGATCTAAGTGGTCCTTCCCGATGAGCTGCACTCTTATAAAACTTGGTTAGTCAAAATGTACCTTTTATTCTTTTATATAGTAAGTTTATTTTTACATCAACTTGTGCTTTTTTTTCATCTAAATTGTAATCCCTGTGGGCTTCCCAAATCACCCACGTGCTATCACCATAATCCAGTGCATTTCCCTCCCTCCACTGTTTTTGATCCCATTCCCCACTCTACCCCCATAAAATGTCTCTGGTAAGGACGCCAGGAAGCGCTGCACAGGGAGACTGACTGCAGCGGCAGCTGCGGCTGCTCTTCACAGCTGCAGTAGCTTTTTGCCCCAGCCCTGCTACAGCCTAGTGATAAACTGAGGCAACTCAGCTAGCGAGAGGAAACCAAATTGTGGGAAAAGGCTGCAGCTCGGAAACAGAGAACTGAGGATATGCTGCAGAGGTGTTGCCATCCTTTGCCCCAGCAGCCCCGACAAAGCCCTGAATATAAACTGAGACAACACAGATAGGTGAGTGGATCCCAAGCTGCTGTGGGGGGGTGGGGGGGGACAACTGCTCTACTTAGAGCCCGGGAGGTGGAGAAGAGGAACTGGCAATTGGGGCCCCTCTAGTCCTACCCGCATCTCCTGCCCCCACAACAGAGATCTGAGACTAGGCAACATTAGAGTTTGGTCAGGTCTTTACGCCATTCTTAAGGCATGGTCAACAAGACTCACAAAGTCCCTGAGTTAAAGAGGGGAAAGAAAACAAACAAACAAACAAACAAACAACAACAACAACAAAAAACAGACTGGACCCAACCACAGGCCCAACTCTAGGAAAATGCAACAATTTTAACAATCTTCCATGGGCACATTCAACATAGAGAGGCCCTAGGAAGTGCCTCAAATGGGGAGACTTGCTAAGGGGTCTACCTGCTTACCACATCTACCCACAAAAACTGTGGTAAAACCCTGGAGTTAAAGAGATACAGCTGGGCTCTGTGAGAGGACCTCAGGCAGTGGGGAGGCACTGCTCAGGGAGGGACGGTTTGGACTAAACAAAAAGAACCCTGAAAGCTCAGAGGGAGGACTGGCAGCCTGCTCAGCTGGGAGGATTTCAGCCCTCTGGCACTCCCTGCACTCCTGTTGGGAGGGGGAGATCCCACCATCACAACAGAGGCCCAGAGACTTGTGAGCCAGAACGGCTCACAGTACTTAGAGAGAGTAAATAAAGCCAGCCACCAACTCAGCCACAGGCCCAGCCCCAGGGAGACCTACAACACTTCTAATTCATCATAACCACCACGGGCACACCAAGCATAGAGGGAGCCTGGGACAACCGAAGGCTACAAGATCAACAGACACCTTCCAGAAACACGGACTCAACGGACTCAACGTGTTACTAGAAGAGGCTAAACAACACAAAAGACCCTTGACTGTTACCAGCTGAGACAACAGACACGATTACACACAGTGGGGGCTGGGAAAAATAACACAACTCAGAATACCCTCCACAACTGAAGTGTCTGGAAGTCCCTCAGCTATTCCAGAGAGATCAAAAAAAAAAAAAAAAAGCCGGTCAATAATAGCAACACCATGTCTCAGTGAATAGAAAGTATTAGAAAATACACAACAGGGAAAAGAAGACAAAAAAATATTCAAGCAAGTACACAGAGTGAAAATTCACCACAAAAAGATCAGTCAGCAGAAACCACCAAAGAAACCACCAAAGAAACAGAATAACTGCTCAACGTACCAGATAAAGAATTCAGAATCATCATGATAAACCATGATAAACAAACAAAATGAAATGAGGCAAGCCATCCAGGAGTTGAAGAATGCAAACAAGGAAATGAATGAAAGAAATGAAAAAATATGAGACAAGCAATCAACAAACTGAAAAAAGAAAATGAGACATTAAAAAAGGAAATAGAAGAAATGCAGGCGATGAAAAGGCCACTAGAAGAAATAAAGAATGCTGGGAAAAGTAATGAAAACATAATCAATGAGATGGAAGAATGAATCAGCACCCTTGAAGACACAGAAACAAAGAGAATTAAAAAAGAATAAGAGAAGTAAAAAGGAAAAGGAATGAAGAAACACTTCAAGAGCTATCTGACACCATAAGGAAAGGAAACATCAGAGTTATAGGTATCCCAGAAGGCGAAGAGAAAGGCCAATGAATAGAGAAAATATTCAGAGATAACAGAAAAGAACTTCCCTAATACGAAGGAGGTGAAAGTAGACATCCAAGAAGCAAGAAGGACCCCAAACTACCATGATGAGAGGGAAAAGCAGCAAGACATAATAAAACTTCCAAGATTACAAGACAAGGAAAAGATAATGAGAATGACAAGAGGGAAGAAACAAATAACCTACAAAGGGAAACCGATCCGGATTACATCAGACTTCTCTGAAGAAACACTACGGGCAAGAAGAGAGTGGAGGGATATATTCAACAAACTCCAAAGCATTAAATGCCAACCAAGAATACTCTACCCTGCGAAGCTCTCCTTCCTCTATGAAGAAAAAATAAGGACATTCACAGCCAAACAGAAACTCCACAATTTCATCATGACTAAACCCCCACTCCAAAAACTACTACAAGAAGCCCTCAAACCATATGCAACAGAAAAATGAACAAAAAGAGTTCAAAACAAGGAATAAAAATACAGAAGGGCCATAATGGCAAATGTAGGTGCCAGTATATCAGTATTATCTCTAAATGTAAATGGCTTAAACTCATCAGTCAAAAGACACAGAGTTGCAGGATGGATTAAAAAACAGAAGCCATCATTCTGCTTTCT